GAGAGATTCGCACCACCCAGTCTACCGAGACAAGATGCCACTCTCGGCCAAGGAAGCTTCGAACCGCCCAGTCTGCTCAGACAAAATGCCACCGTTAGTCAAGGCACCGTAGCGTCTTCTAGGCATTCGTCCCAGAATACACCTCGTCTGCGAAGAAGAGATGCCACTATTGGCCAACGCACGGAAGCCTCAACGTAAGCTAAAGAGGTTTAATCAAGCGGAAGGGTGCCAGTCTGCTCGACAAGATGACACTCTTGAGGAGGATCTCGAATGGAGCCAGAGCTCACTCCGTTTGCTCGGACACAACGGGGAAGTTCATGGCAAACTCGCCAAGTAGATTGAAGTCCTCACAGAGCACGATGTGGAGTACCTACACCGACCGAACACCACCTAGATTATCAAAGTCGCAGACGGTCTGAGCCGAATCCACGACAGACTCCAAGACCCCCCCCCCCCCCGCGATGAACATCAAGGACCGACTGGCCTTCGAAGCTGAAGTTCGCAACCGAATGATTGTGGGAACCGCGAAGCACGACAACCCTGGGTTAGGGTCGAAAATCACTTTGGGCAACGATGCGGCAGCTGCTAGGAGAAAAGAGTCTTGGCGTCTAGATGTAGGAGCAGAAGAGCCGAGTCAGTGCCAGTCCAGCTAGCAAGCTCGACCGGATATTTGGCAAAGTAGCTGCAGGTTGAACTTATAGTCAACGCCAAAGAATCATTATCAGCGATGGGCGTTTTCAACTGCATGGTTTCGGACACGCCGTTTTGCCTTATTGACTCTCAATGTGAGGGGCCCAACCAAGAGAAGACTTACAGCTCGATAGCATGGGCAGACACTGATCTCGGAGGCTTAGTCGGTATCAGTGATCAATAAACAATTTCACCAGTGTCTCGATCATCTTCAACGTGAAACAGTCTTGACGACAGCCGTGAGTTTACTCGTTTATTAAATCGACTCCTACTCTCTTCAGAGACTCAACAGCCCACTCTGGATACTTTGACTTGTCATAGTTGTAAAGATCGCCGAAGAACTGCCTAATAAGGGCAGGGTACCTGTCTTCAATAACAGCTTGCCGGATATCTTTCATGAGGTTCAGCTGATACCAGACGTTGTGTATGCTCAGCAGGTGAGCAGCGACCGTTTCCTTGCCCGCATTATGGTTGATGAAGGCCCTAGTCACACCTAGACCACCCTCACCCTTCCGGCAACAGATACAGCCACATCCTTCCTCAATAGGGCCGTAGTCGTTCTCATATCGCCAGTTGCGAATGTTCAGTACGCCGTGCTTCGTGATTGCGTTGCCAAACCGGGCTGTCCGCGTCGGCCAGACACAGTCGAACATATCCGCTCCCAGGGCGACGCTCACAACCAAATCCTCGGGGTATCCGATACCCATGACATATCGAGGCTTGAGATCCGGCAGCAGCTCGGTACACGTCTCGACAACACGGCAGTAATCCGTCTTAGCCTCGCCACCACTCAGACCACCAATGGCGATGCCTGGGGTATCGCGCGCCAACATCTCCCGTGTGCACTCCCGTCGCATTTCGAGATCGAGACCGCCCTGTATGATGCAGAAGAGGTTCTGGGTCTTGGGGTTCTTGTGCGCTGCGATGCACCGATCCAACCATCTTACACTTCGCTCCATGGCCTCGCGCATACGGGCTGCGTCGGGTGATGTCGTGACAAGTACGTCGTCGAGCTGCATCATGATGTCGCTTCCAATCGAATTCTGCAGAGACATGGAGTGCTCTGGAGTCAAAAGCATGGGCGAACCATCGTGGGGGCTGAGGAAGCGCACACCCTCCTCAGTGATTTTCGCCAGCTTGAGGAGACTGACCATTTGGAAGCTATAGACTTAGTCAGTAACTGGTGAAGACCTTCGCAATCCAGTCAAGAAGGTATATGTACCCTCCACTATCCGTCAAAAGATTGTGTTTCCATCCTTGTAGCTTGTGCGCGCCGCCGATCTTGTCCAGTACGTCTTGGCCGGGCTTCAGGCCGAGATGGTAGGTGTTGTTCAGGCACAGGCGGCAGCCCGTCTCTTCAAGCTGCTCGGGAGTCAAGCCTTTGAGCGAAGCTTGTGTCGCGACAGGCATGAATATCGGAAGCTGAACCTGGCCGTGTGGAAGCGTCAGGATGGATGCGCGGGCTCTCGTTGTCTAGCCTAAACCGTTAACATGCGAACTAGGAATCACATGAAGATTGTGAGTCAAAGTACGGAGGCGGGGGATGCTTACTGAACAGCGAGCGACGAGCTCGAAGGTGAGAGCGGGCGAGGACCCGACATTGGTTGACGCCATCCTTTTCGCTATCCACATGAGCGATCGCGCAGTCCACAGGCTGCTGGCTGCGATGTGGGTGGAAGGGGGAAAGGGCTGAGTGCGGGTTGGCAAAATGCAATTCTCCAAATTCGAACCGCTAGACGATGCGCTTTCCCATCGGCGTTGGTGGGGCCGTTGAGTGTCCTTCCTGCCGAATGTCCCTCTAAATTTCAAACCCCATCCTATTTACCTGACCTTAAGCCTTAAAATACCGAGGTAGCTTCTGTGTGCCTCGCTAAGACCTGAAAATACTGTTCGAAGGCTTTTATCTAGTTCGAAATTTGCAAATTGTCGGAATATTCAACTTCGCAAAGTTCCCTCGCTGTCTCTACCACTTGAAGCCTCTGAGACTGAAGGCCCAGTGTCTCTTATCCCTTAATTGGTTTAGACTGTGCACCATACATGGACATTTCGGGTGACAGTGGAGAGAAGCAGGAGAAACGACAGGGGTAGCTCTCACCCAATCAGGTACGCCGGCTTCTTCCGCACTCCAATTGAAATTTCTCACGCAACGATGCACGCTCGTCACCCGTTCCGCGATACATACGACTGACGACGACCAAGCTCAGTAGAGAGCTTCGCCAGCCGCCATGTCTGCCCGAATGTCGCCCGGAGGGGCGCTGCTGAGATCATCTCGGATGTTCTCTGTGCCCAAGCCGCTCCCTCAACCCGGAGGTCAAGCAGCTGCCATCGCTCGATACGCATCCCCGACGGCGACCGCGCCTTATCCCACGCACCAATCCATCACCACTACCGAATCCTCGAGGGCCCTTGGTGACTGGGGCTTCAAGCGCTCCCTGCCTCTTCGATCCACGACCAAGTCATCGACCCCCGTTGTCCGCATCAAGGACATTGACTGCTTCGAAAACGTCACCGATTACACCTCCGCCGCGGACCACACCTTGTCTCTTCAGAAGTTCCACGAGCTCAACCTGCCCGTCACACTACCTGGCACCAACCGGTCGCGTCTCGGTGGTATCCACATTGGAGCGAAATCTGTATTCGAAGACGATGGTGACTTCACTACTGTCAAGCGTAACGGCGAAAACGAGGAGAAGAGGTGGAAGTTCCAGGGCCCCTGGTTGGCTGGCCTCACTGAGGGCGAATTCAACGCATACCTGCGCAAGGCTGTCCGCAACAAGCGAGCATCATTCCGCAACTTCCTGCGGAAGCGTATTGCATCTGATGAAACGAGCAAGCAGCGTCAGAAATCCCTGGAGGCTGGAGAGAATGCTCCCGCAGCTCTTCGTGCAGGCGACGTAACGGAAGAGCAACTCACAGAGTACATTCGCAAGTTGCGCAACGACCGCATCACCTTGTACTCACTTGTCGGCGAATTCTTGGACCTTGCTCCCCTGAACCCGCCCAGCTCGTTGACCGACTTCAGCAAGTCGACGGAGAAGACCAAGCGCCCTAGCTTGTACGCTGAGCATGGCCCGCCCGCTTCTCACCCCTCTGGCGGTATCTCATACCTCCGCACATCCAACTTCGCCGAGAACCACCCAGTATACGGCCCCCAGGCGCAACATACCCCCGTCCTGGCTCGTATCGTCGCCCCGAGATCAGGAGCCAACAGCGCCAAGCTGGGTGTCGGCGGTTTCATCACGGATGTTCCCCAGGGCGATACGGCTTTCAACCACAGAGCTTTTGTTGGACGCAACAACAAGGTGGCTGGTGTTGTCACTTTCGACCCCGATATCAAGGGAGGCGCCAAGGCCTACGTTTCGCCTACGTCGGCTCGCATTGACTCAGACGGTTGTGTCCAAATCACCGTTGGCGAGGCTAATGAAGAGGCCCAGCTCATTCTGAAGGAGTTGGTTGGAAAGGCCAAGATCTACAACGACAAGACCGAGGTAGAAGCACCCGCACCGGCCCGCAGATTCATCCGAAATGTGCACACCAACAACCAAAGACCCGGAACCAGCGCGGTGGGCAGCTCGAAGAGCTACGGTCTTGACTCTTGAGGGTGGTGAAGATAGCGTTGGAAGCGCTTCTAGTCCTAAAACTAGGCGCGAACGAGCCTAGGATAGTAGAGCATGGAGTTGAGTCACACTATGAAGAAACCATCTTTGTATGGCGTTCGCATGTGTGCCGAGTGTACTATGTATGGTATTGTAAAATAAGAAGAATACAACGCAAATTTCGACACTTTCTTGACAGTCTATGATCGTTAGGGAGCAATCGTACTACTAATCTAGCCAAGATAAGGTACTTCAGCTTGTTGCAATACCTACTTGTACCTGGCCGTCGGCGGGAATGGAGGCCAGAAAATATCTTCAACTGCCAATTTATGCTTTTCCGAGAATGGGTGCGCAACTCTTCCAATTCGATGCAATTGTGCATCCTTGGAAGGACCCAGCAGTGAAGACGAGAGCCTCGTGTTATACCGGCTCCGTCCCAAGGAATGAACCCAATCCGGATCCGAGTGGGGCACCGATTCCTGTCTCGTCCCAGCCATCCACAAGATCACGTGTGATTACATATGCATGCCCCCATGGCCTGTGCACCGAAAGTCCCGCTCCCCACACCACGGCCCTAAATTTTGTGTAAAGATATCAAAATTGCATCTGCCCAGCGAAACTTATCGTGAACATCTCGACCGACCAGCCTCACTAACCGACCAACTCCCTCCACCCAGCCAAATACCCCTCTTCCGTTGAGTCAGTACCGCCAAAATGGGTCGCGTTCGCACCAAGACCGTCAAGAAGTCCGCCAAGGTCATCATTGAGCGGTACTACCCCAGACTCACCCTGGACTTCGAGACCAACAAGCGCATCTGCGATGAGATCGCCATCATCGCCTCCAAGCGCCTCCGCAACAAGGTCAGCAAGAAGATAGCCACCCAGACGCAACATACGAGTTGGACGAACGAAGGTCCCCGTGAGACCGCTTCCAAACATCGGTGTTGGGGATACGGAAAGGTTGAGAGGGCAAAATTGCTGACTGGAGTGAAATTATAGATTGCTGGCTACACCACCCACTTGATGAAGCGTATCCAGCGTGGTCCCGTCCGCGGTATCTCCTTCAAGCTTCAGGAGGAGGAGCGTGAGCGCAAGGATCAGTTCGTCCCCGAGGTCTCCGCCCTCGACTTCACCCAGAACACCGAGAGCGGCCAGCTCGAGGTCGATGTCGAGACCAAGGACCTTCTCAAGCACCTCGGCGTATGTCTTAACCTCTACTTTGATTCGAAATAATATCCCCCAATACTGACTATCGTGCCCTGCAGTTCGACGCTATCCCCGTCAACGTCACTCCCGTCGGCCAGACCCAGGTCCAGGAGCGCGGAGGCCGCTTCGGTGGCCGCCCCCCTCGCCGCGACTAAATTTCAGTCGTGGTCGATTGTGGATAAGGAAAATTGGGTGGTTTTTAACGGACTTTTACGGCAAACGGCATATGATGATACACATTGCTACAGGCGTCTTACGGACGGTAGTGAGTTCACACTAGGAACTTCCACAAAGAAAAGTTCTGTTTTCCCACTCAAGGTGTCGCCGATTCTCTAGGGTAATTCCGGAGATGACGCTTGACTGCCAATCTTCTATCCCTCTCTTGCGTACCGTGATGCTGTCCCTCTGACCTTGTAGCTCAACTGAGCCTCCCGTTGAAATGCAGCTAGTTTCTGAAACTAGGCCTGCTGTGCTTAAAGTGATTAAACTTTCGAATCGGTGTGCCTTTGGGTATCAAATCTATCTATATAGAGCAACCGATCATTGCGACGCCTAAATGAGCTCCTCCTCCACGCTTCAATCATCTCTGGTATCCTCCCGCCCGTAGAATTACATCATGACATTTCTTGGTCACGTTGTGCCTCAAATTGGGAAGCCTCAGCAATGGCCTGCGCCTTGCCAGCTCCCGGTCTGTGTCCCTCAACAAATAAATGGGAATCGTCTGGATCTCCAAACACGCCATGCTCTGTTGGTGGCTTGACCTCCCTCTCCCTGATGGCAAGAGTGAAAGTATTACCAGGCTGTCCCGTCTCCCGTGTCTCTCCTCTCTCCAAGGCCAATGTGGCAGACTCGTCGGCCGCCCTCCTGCCCTCCTCCAGCTTCAAACTTGCGAGGTCGCGCGAAGCCTGTGATGCAGGGTCATCCTGCCTCGCCTTCTCCTCTCCATACAGCTCAATCTCAATATCCGGCAACCCCGCCCGCTCCCACGCAGCCGACTCGTTCAGCTGCACCTTGATATACATGGCCCTGCGCTGGCAGTCCTTGGAGCACCACTTCTCCGACTCCTTGCGATTGACGATATCAAAGTCTGCCTTGCCAAAGTTGACGAGCCTCCACTCGCCACCCTTGGAGGCCATCGGCTTCGGCTGCGCGCAGAGGGTGTACCCGCACAAGCCGTTGACGTTGCGCTCCTCGATGAGGTCGTCGTAGTCGGAGGGCTGGAAGAGGCGGATGCCGGCCTTGAAGTCGGCGACGTCGCGTGGGGAAGGGTTGGCGGCGGAGAAGGTTCTGCTGCCGCGCTCGGTGGGGTACTCGGAGAGCTCGGCCAGGCTCTCGAGGATCTGGAGCTCTAGATCCTTGCGCTGCTGAATGATGCGGGCGTGCTGGAGGGCGATTTCGCGGGGGTCTTGTTTTCGGGGATTGAGGACGGCGTTGGCGGCGCCGCTGCCGGAGGCGGTGGCTCCGGCTGCTGCCTTTTTGAGGATGCCCTTCAGTGGCCGGGCATCGGTAGCCATGGTGGATGTTGTTATGTACGTGAGGTGGTTGTGGGAGGGGTTCGTCTAGCTTGTGTGCGGCGCGTCGTCTTATGTTTCCCTGTAGGAGCTTCGAGCTCGGCGATGGAAGGTGGTAGAGCCTTTGAAAAATGACTATACGGTGCGCGGAAGGGGAAATGTTGTCGTGGCTACGCGTGTGAGACAGGCTGGAATTAAGATACGATGTGTGGTGGTGAGTGTAGATTGAAGACGTGAACAAGTGAAAATTGTTAAGCAATTGGAGAATGTTCGATCCCGCAAGTGTTGCTGTCGGGAATATACACCCCACCCTTCGCACCAAGAGCACTCCCAATCGAGAATCCGCTGTTAGGCATGGAAGCACGCAAGCTGAAGCAAAGCACCAGGGCCGTAGTACGTACCTCCTGCCACCACCCGGCTGCCGCCACGATTGAGGGGGAACAGTCAACAGCCGCCAAGACTTTTACACTCAGGCACATTGGTGTGACGGGTTGACCAGGCGCTTTGCTGGCGAGAGTGTGGCTCGGGGTGCTCGGGTGGCTTGAGCGGCCGTAACTCCGTCCCTCCGCTTCCAAGTTCCCCCCCTCCATTCCCAGCTGCTCCCTCCCCCATGTCCGCGGCCCTCTTGACCCCTCGACTGGACTTCTGGAGAGGATTTCGATTGGCTAAAGCGGCTGAAGAAACGTAGCGCATCTTCCGTCCGCTCTCACACCTCCAACACTGGACTGGAACTGGACTTGGTTTGACTGTTTGGCCTCGTGTTAACACCGGGCTTGCCCTGCGCCACGGTCGAGTGACCTGCTCAAGCTCCTTCAGGTCATCTCGTAATGCACTACTATTGTTCCGTTGCACCATGTCGTGGGACCGTCCAATGCCTGGAACTGGCTTTGCTGGCTTACCTCAACTTGACCTCACACTGCAGTTGCCATGAAGGTTAGGTGCCTAACCTAGCTGTTCCTTTACATTGATCTGCTTCTCTACGGAACCCTCTCTGGCCAACCACAATTTGCGTGATGCACCAGCTGGCCGAGCCACATGCGCCTGATCTATATTGGTCCTGCCGTTGTTCCCGTTCGCTGTTGTTGAGTATCGATATTGCTAAGGTATTCCGACCTCCACAAGGGCATAGCCTGGGGTGTAGCATTGTGAAGTGTTGCAGCTAACGGTGATGGACTTCCAACTCTTATAGAATTCTATGAGAAGTCCGGCCGAAGCGCAGAATGCAGACGCAGGCGACAAATGACATGCGATAGACTTCTCTGCCCGTTCTTTGGATGACCGTTATGGTGAACCCCTGCCCTTAGCACCCCATCGCATCGCCTGCTATTTGATACTGAGTATGAATTTGTGAAGCAAAGACAGTCCAGTTCAACAGCGACAAAACAGATCAGAACACAGTGGCCATCCACGTAGAGCAGAAAATGAATACCAACCATGATATTCATACAGTGTACTCAAATTCAGGGTTGCAGTGTGTCTAGGCAGACGCATCCTACCCGAAGAGCCCATCTCACCCGCATAGCGCATTGCGGCTCCAGAGTACCCAATATGCACCACATACAACCCCCAAAACTTAGCTCACCTTAGGTACGACACACCAAGGTAAAGATGGACAAAGAGCCACCTGAACAGGAAAAGAGAATGCATTTGTCAACGGGGTGTCTGGGGCTGCATACATGACTCTTGTGTTTGCATAGTGCAGACTTCCCAGGCAGGGCCCCCAATTGCCCCGACACATTGAACTAAGAGAGTTACAAGTTCATGCGCTGACGTCGACATGCCAACTTGTAGATCCCTCCACCCCCGTCCGTCCCTTCCTCACAGCCTCCTTCTCCGACTGCCCACCCCCCCTTCCTCCCCAAGTCCCCCCTCGCTGAGTTTGAGAAATCGCCAGCGCAGTCGCAACGCAACCCGCTCAACCTCACACACCGTCATCATCCACCTTTGTCATTTGTTTTTCCACCCTCACGGGCTCTTACTTCGCACATCGCATTCCGTTGTTGATGTAGCTAACGCCCCGAATCTGACCTTTCTTGTCTTTTCGCTTCTAGTCGTAGCTACTATTACTGCGTACCTTACTGCTGCTACTGCTGCTGCAACCAACAGCCCACGCAAGGTCCAAGCTGCTGACGACGTTCCGATTCCGTTGCCCCACACCATAGAGCTCCAGCGTCGCTCGCTCTGACCTGCGGCACCCAACTCCTCTTTCGACCGTCTAGGTGTTCGCATCCCACAAACACACCGACAACGAGCCAAACCGACGACAACGACGATATCGACGAAGACGACGGACTATCCCGACCATTGCCGGCCATGTCGACCGCCCCTTTCAGGGTCAAGGCCCTGTTCGAATACTCCTCGCCCCACGAGGATGACCTTCAGTTCCCCGCCGGCGTCATCATCACCGTGACCGACGAGGAGGATGCTGATTGGTATACTGGCGAGTATGTCGACGACTCTGGCGCCAAGCACGAAGGAATCTTTCCTCGCAATTTCGTCGAGAAATTCGAGCCCCAGGCCCCGCCTCGCCCAACGAGAACTCGAACCAAGAAAGAGGCCGAGGTCACGTCCCCCATCTCGGAGGCGCCCGCCCCAGTTCCTCAATCCGAGCCTCAACCCACCCAAGAAGCTCACGCCGAGGTCGAGAAACCTGCGCCGTCCCCGGCAGCTGCCGTGCCTGCCTCGCCCGAAGCACCCGCAGCTCCCGAGCCCGAGCCTGTAAAGGCACCTGAGCCAATCCCCGAACCGACCCCGGTTGCTCCGGCTCCCAGAACTGAGTCCCCCGCAGTCACGTCGCCTCCCATCGCCAAGGCAGCGCCTGCTTCATCAAAGCCCGGCCCGCCGCCCAAGCCGTCCAGCAATGCCTTCAAGGATCGCATTGCTGCATTCAACAAAGCCTCGGCTGCTCCTATTACGCCATTTAAGCCGAGCGGGCTGGCCCAAGGTTCCTATCACATCAAGAAGCCGTTTGTGGCTCCTCCCCCTAGCCGCAATGCATATGTTCCCCCGCCTACGCAGGCACCGGTTGCAAAGGTCTACCGAAGAGACGAGGACCCGGAAATTCTGGAAAGAGAGGCAGAGGCCCAGGAGAATGTTGAGAAGGCCGGCATGGCTCCTGGTCCCTCTGGTGAAGATGGTGAGGATGCGCCGAAGCCGACCACCTTGAAGGAGCGCATTGCTCTTCTTCAGAGACAACAACAGGAACAAGCACAGCGTAACGCCGAGGCCGCTGCCAAAAAGAAGGCTGCACGACCACCGCCTAAGAAGCGCACCGACAGCCAGGAGGCTTCTGAGGATGCCGGCGCTGCTGCTGCCCCTGCACCTGAGGGCGATACGGAGGAGGTAGCAGGCCGGAGCTCGATAGATTCAGCTCGTGTGCCGCCCGCCCCCCGGCGCAAGCCTTCCAAGGGCCCTGCTGCCGAGAGCTACCATGACGGCAATGAAGCGGACATGTCTGGGGCTGGCGACACTACCGAAGGCCCTGAGGATCTCACCGAACGCGACGATAGTGACGTGGCTCCACGGCCTGTCCTGCGGCCCCAAGTCGCTTCTCCTATCGAGACAAGAAAAGAGGAGGACGCAGCCGATGAGCAGGGCGGAGATGAGGAAGAAGAGGAGGACGATATTGACCCCGAGGTTCGCAGGAAGGAGGAGCTCAGAGCCAGGATGGCGAAAATGAGCGGCGGCATGGGAATGCACGGCATGTTTGGAATTCCAATGGCTGCTCCAGCTATACCCAAGAAGAAGAAGACAATCGAGAAGCCAGTGGAGGCATCGCCGACGGAGGAGCACGAAGAGGAGACATCGCCTACAAGCCGTGTCGCCGTACCGGGCATGATGGCATTGCCAGGGCTGAGCGCACCCAAACGTCAAGAAGAGGCTACTGAGCCTGAGCCGCCAACATCCCCTAGAGCGCCACCCCCGCCTCCACGAACGATTGAAGTCGACGATGACAGAGACGAGCCAATTACGAGCCCACCTCCCAGTCGTGAGTCAAAGACGATTGTTGTCTTAGTTGCATTTGCTAATTTTGCGAAAGTCCCTGCCCGTGAGCCCGCGGGAGCTCCTCCTGTTCCAGGATCCCGGCCCGCGGCGCCGCCCGTTCCCAGCGATTGTAAGTCCTTGACCCTGTGTTAGTTCGCTTCAAGACTATGGCTCATAGTACTCCAGCTCGGCCCGCTACCTCTGGGCTCAAATCTCCCAGTGATGGCTCAGTGTCCGACGATGAGCTATCAGGAGGTGTCCTAGACACTCCCAAGGCCGAAGAAGCGCGAGCACCCCCGCCACTGCCGCCAGTTGCAACCGCCGCACGCTCGCCACCTCCCATTCCCGGCTCCGAATTCTCACCAACATCTCCCACCAGCTCCTCGGGCAAGCGGATGAGCAGAATTCCGCCTCCTATCCCTGGAGCTGCTCCTCCTATCCCTACAGCACAATCGCGACCGCCTCCCCCACCACCTCCAGGCGGTAGTCTGAGCCGTCAGTCGACGCAGGATATGCACGTCGCATCACCCATATCACCACCCATCAGACCTCCTCAACAGGGTGACGATGAGGACGAGGCTACAGAGTATGAGGGAGATTACGATACTGACATTGCGTCGTCGGTTCCCCACAAAGACGCACTCAAATCTCACGCCAGGGACTCGAGTCTCGACGACAACACGCCAGTCAGATCACCCACATCCCCAGCCCTACCACCGACCATGCCGCCACCTATCCCGACTGGCCCGCCGCCCAGAGCTGCTCCGCCACCGGTGCCGACGGCTGATAAGCGCCGCTCTGTGGATGTACCGCGAACAGCTCCTCCTCCCCCTCCGCCAGCAAGGGACGATGACGAGTACGACCCCTATAACTACTCCACCCAAAAGCTACCGTACTCTCAGCGTACCCCGAAGATTGAAGAGGAGGGATACTTCCAGGATGATGCTCCGCCGTTGCCATCGCCGTCTCACACGAGAGCCCCGCCTCCCGCCCCTCCCGCTGGCCGGTCTCGCCAGTCACTGGATGTGTCACGAGCCTCCATGTCTCAGCGACGTTCTATGGATGCGCACCGACCGTCCATGTCCACAGAATCAGGCTTCATCGCTAACAACGTCGATTTGGCCAAGCAAAGTGGTTGGTGGCGTCAGGACAAGACGGTACCTCCCGTTTTCCAGGGTAGAAAGGACTTGTATTATGAGACGGACGACTCGACATCAGGCTCGATTGTCACACGCACCATTTATGTGCTCTTCCAAGATTACTCGCAGACGATCATCAGCGTGGAGTACGATCAGAACAACGCTGCCGATGTTCAGCTGGATCAACGGCATGATCCGCCTCCAAGAGCCTTGCGACAGGATGAGCTCGAGCAATCGTATGAACGATTTGGACGACCAATCTCTGAAGCGGTCGTCTCCAAGAAGGAAACGATTGTTGGCGACGGAACGCCGCAAGGCCTTATTCATGAACTCTTGAAGCCTTTCAATGATGCTCTGGCGCCAATTGGAACCAGAGCTTATGGCGCGCTCGTTTACTCCAACATGGCCAATGCCTCCACACAACAAAATGACCAGATCCGACCTGGAGATATCATTTCCATTCGGAACGCTCGGTTCCAGGGCAAGCACGGCCCCATGCATGCCAAGTATTCAATGGAGGTCGGCAAGCCTGACCACGTGGCGGTTGTATCGGAATGGGATGGCACAAAAAAGAAGGTTCGCGCCTGGGAACAGGGCCGCGAAAGCAAGAAGAACAAGGTTGAAAGCTTCAAGCTGGACGACTTGCGTAGTGGTGAGGTTAAAATTTGGCGGGTGATGCCCCGGAGCTGGGTGGGATGGAACAGCCCGTCTTAGGAGATGTGCTGGGAGTCCCCACGGCAGCCGACGCTGCGAAGACGGACGACGGTCGGCTCGCTGAAGAGGGACTACTCACCTCTACGACGAAGACACCGACTGGGAGTCCACGGTTACGACGGATCGGTCTGATGCATCTATTGCGCGTTCAAGGAGAGGATGGGAGATAGACTAGGATCTTTCTTCATTTCGCTCGTCCTCGTGTTATTCATTGGCTATACGCCCCTCCCGCAGCATAGTTTGCTTTAGGAACCTAGTAGCAACGCATTGATTCTATTTTGTCGACTCTTGTAGTTTGATTGACGCCGCTGAGTGTGATCCTTGGTCCGGGTATGTGAGGATGTTGATATACTTGCGTCTTCTGTTCTTTCGTTCGGTGGGTCTCTGCTTTACATTGTTTTACTCAAATCTGGCCCATATCAGCCTTCTTACCTGTCCCCGACCCAACTCGAAGGAGCCAGTGCGGCGGGTGTGAGCGTGGGCCCCCCGTTATCTGTGATGTTCTTCGCAGTCTGCGTTCTTTTGTGAGAAATGAGATGTAAGCCTTTTCTTCCATTGAGGATCACTACGCTGGAAAGTGAAGACGGTCTTTCTCTTCTAGTTCAGCGCAGAAGGGGATTTACTCTATCATTCTTGCAGGAGCAAAGAAGAGAGTTTGACATTCAGGCTGGACCTCTGGTTGAAGTGGGCATTCATGACCTACCTAGTAATAATACGTATTTTAAGCACCAAGGTGAGAAAGAAAAAGAAGAAGATAAAGTAGGGCAGGCTTGAATGTCCTTCCAAATCCCCCCCAGAAATCTTCCTCTACCCTGTTTGACGTATTTCGCCCTTTTAGCTAGAGCACAATGTCTCTTTTCCCTTTCTATTCATCTTGTAAGTTCTTCTAATACTATCCTCATTATACATGTTCACATCTTGGTAAGGGGGAAATGGTCACGAGAAGCTGAGTGCCCGAACATAAAGTTCAGCCATCGAGAATTTCGAAAGTGCACCAGGGTCAAGAAGGGCTTCAAGGACGCCTATGACACCCTATGCCCATGCACTGAGTTTGAACAATACAGTACATCTTCGAACTCTAGCTTCTCAAAGCTCCTGTAGATCTCAATCGTGTTTGCTACTTGTCTTGTGTTTTTGTCTCTGCTAGTCGCTGGGGCGGTTCTCGGTAACCTCAGTACGGCTTTCTAATTGAAACTCTACACCACGTACTGAGTACATGCACATACTAAAATCACTGACCCAAAGGTTCCCAACGCCGTTATTGATTCATGTCTTCTCCTAATCCCAACTCAAAATTGTGATCGGGATTTCCCAAGCTGGCGCCGTATATGAAGTGACCCCCCGGCACGCCCCCCTCAGGCACCCAAGGTCATCTAGAAAACGAAACCCACTCGTTACGAGTTGCCCTACGATACTAAGGACTCGTAAAACGTCTCGTATTCGCCCTAATAAACGTGCGTCAGAGGAGAAGATGAGTGCTTATAGATATAAGAGAAAGAATTCCACTAAAATTATGCGTTCATACCGATTCCTGAGGTTTTTTTTACAATGGTAATCCTATCTTCTCTCCTTTTAATTAGCTACTCTAACTGCTTTATTAGTATATATAGAGAGAGGGGGAGCTAGTTGAGTGCGGCAAAATCCTATATAAAGCTGAGGATCGAAGTAAAGTAGATGCTATTATAAAATAGGTTCTTTATATCAAGGCAAGAGTACTCGCAGTCTTTAGCAGCTTGTCTATATACAAGCCACACCCAAAGCAGTAGTCTTTCTTAAACGAGGAAATCTTTCTTACTTACTTAATCGCATTTCCTAGCAACTTCTGCCCAGTCTGCCTACCTATCTTATCACGAATACGATCGAGCAAGGTGCTGCGTGAGCAAAGAACGTAATCTCTAACACTTAAAGTTGTCTAAAGGACTTCAAACAGTAGGCGTGCCCCGTCTATCTTGCAGTACAGACTCTACTATAATTACTTCGTAGCATACTGGGGTGAAAGTATGACCTGCCACGGCTGCTGTGGCCCTTGCGGCGAGCTTCCTCCAGGTCGTCGTGAAGAAAGAAGGACTGAACGCGGGAACGAAAGTCGCTTCATATACCCTATAACACATGCGGCAGTAGGTTGAGGCATCCATGAAGCGGACGAGGGAATTAGCCCGAGAGGAGCTCATTCACTCGGATCGTTGTTGTGGAAGAGTACTGAACGCGAGAACGGCGCCGTCTTGTAATACGTCTGCACGTCTCGAACAGAAAGACTACACTTGGGTATCTTTCCAGAATAGATCCACTCAAATTAACTTGCGGTATTTCCAGAGGGAAGTATAAGAGGTTTATCTAGATTCAGGTTATCAGAGGAAAAGCTCAATATGGAAATTGAAGCCATCCTCTACAACTTGGGCATACGCAGAGACACTACTGTTTGTTTTATAAGACCGGTCAGAGTCAAAGCAAGGTTTGATACATCTCTTGAGGCGTTATGCGTGAGGTTCTCAACCAAATCACTCCTAACTGCTCAAAGAGCCCTTCAAGATCAAATAGCACAGGTCACGAAGAAACATCTAAGACTTAGGACAGAATTTCTACCGAGATGCGCTATCAAGAAAGGAATAGTTGTTACAAACGAGATCTTGTTTATATACTGAGTGAAGTAAATACCTTTGTATACTGCCTAGGCCAGCTAATATTGACAACAAACTTCACAAACCCATAGAAGAGTTCTGTCTGACGATTACAAGGTCATGCTCTATTCAAAACATACTTTGACACTGGAGCAGACACACAGGGAGCAAGGCTAGGAAGGACCTCCCCTGGTAACGAAGCCATCAACCTAGAACCAAACCAAGATCAGCACAAAACTCCCTTGCCGTTCCTTAATAAACACAACAGCAAACAACGCATCCCGCTTATTCATCGAACGAGTCCTAAATCTAGAGGCTTGAACATCCAACATAACTCATCTCACAATCACCACTAGCTCACGGAAGAAGGCGCTTCTCCATCAACCATCAATCACCTCCCTCCAGATTCACAAGCCCCTCCCCTCTCTACCTTCAGGCGCAAAGAGCCGCAGATAAAAGGGATGCTCAAGGCACTCGCCCTCCTTCCCAGGGTATCGGAGTCACTAGAACCAATCACCAACCACCAACACCATACCTAAGGTAGACTGGAAGAATCCCCTAGAGTGGTGAGATGGTGGCCTGTCAAACACGTCCAGTTGCGCATCCTCTTCCCCCTCCTACTACCTAGCCTTTCATCCAGACCAACTCCGTTCCCCCCTCCCCCACCATCATCCCATTCTGCCCCCCCCCCCCCCAAATCACCCCCAATCCTCATCCCGCACTAAGGAAACGCCCAATGACGGTGGCAGCGCATCTCACCCGTCTCTCCAACCGGCTGGACATGCGGGATTTCCGTCAACTCGTCGTTGGCTTTTTCTAGTATACCGGTAGCCGAGGGAAAAGTTTGGAAAAGGGAGGGAGGGCTCGGCTAGGTCCGGTTCGGCTCTAGACTTGTCACTAAGGCCGGAGCTTTTTCGCAGAGAAGGTTGGATGATGGGATGATGTGCTGATGATGGCAAAAGAAAAGAATTCTCTCATTTTTGGATGATTGGCTTCTGCAAGGATAAATGAAAATGTGTTTCCCACCTCGTCCGTCTAAGCCCGGAGTAGGAGACCTACATGGATGCTGGAAGATAAGTTTGGGGAGAGAAGGCTCGTCTTCTCCATACATGTACCATAATTAGCCGGGCCGAGTCTCCTGATTCGAGGTACTTGACTCTGAAATCAATCATATTCCAGCTCCCAGCTCCTCCCCAACATGCCATTCTGTGTAAGAATATAATTTCGAGTAAAGCTTGACAGACGGAAACACCCCTTCTCAACTCCTTAGTTCCCGAAGAAAAGGTCCACCTACCCCGGACCCGATCATCGCCCCAGAACAAGACACATGCAGCTTTCGATATGGTGTGATGCAGCATCTGCACCAGGCAAAGCTCCGTTGCCGGCGCGGCTCTCGCCTAGCATCCCACTGCACTGGGATGATGATCGGCAGCTTCCATAGGCCGAGCGTGTCAAGAGAGACGAGCCGCCGGCCGGTCGCTGCGGTGTCAAAACCCCCTCCACTGCCGGTAACGGGGTCGGGGTTGCACGACGCTCGCCGTGCAGCGAGTGCGGGGAAAGAAGGCTTTCTCTCCACCACGTGTGTGGACGCCGCAAGATGGCGGGAAATGGATCACATGAGCCCGTCGAGAGCCCAATCACTATACGGGGGAATTTATCGATCCCTCAGTGGCTGGTCACAATGCTGCCTATGGAAACCCAATGCTCGATTCCGTCTCTCATAGGGCCAATATCCAGGGCTGCCGTAGTCGCAATGGTCCAGAGACAGGAAGGCACCAAGGGAATAGCGAGGCCTAGAACATCGTCTGAAAACACAGACCGTTGCATCCGGATCAGCAAGACTAGGGCCGGGACAAATCAGTCAACGCCGTTTTGGGATGTGGTTGTGCCGACGTGGTACTCAACGCGGATAGACTTTCTATTCGCGCTTCTAGGTCTTCCTAACACAGGGAATAGCGCGGTATACACCCGTACAGCAAATGAAACATCGTTGAAGCCCGACCCAAAAATTGATGTGACAAGCAAGGTTTGGGGAGGCTAGGAATAAGTCGAGATTCGCCTGTTGCAGTTGTCTAATTTCTAGACTGTGGTATATCGATGAGAACTTTCTTTCCGGGGGGATCAGACACGCATTTGCCGTCGCTAGACAGCGTATATCCCAGCCTGGAGAGTGGCAACACCAGCAATACCGCGAGATATCTTGCCTTTGATCTGGCATGATCGACATTGGCAATAAGCGCTGCAATGGCAGCTCATAGGCGCGCGTGCGGATAAATGAGTGTCTTTAAGCTCAAAGATATGTCTGGTCGAGGACTGACTTTCCTCATACACGGGGTAGGTGAGAAGAGTGCGTACATCGCCGCATGGCGATATACGCATGTCCATCCCATGCCCAACTATCCGTCAAGACTTCAGTGAGACCACGCAGTCAACGTACCATTACGGCGACAGAACATTGACGATCGTTGGCAAACACCGCCAAGGCGGGCGACTGAGGAGAATTCGAGTTGCTGCTGCTGTAGTACGTAGTTCCAGGAGACAAATGGCGCTTGCAAGGCACCATTGCGTCAATGGCAAAAAGAAGCCACCATACAGCCGTAGATGCTGGATGACAACCCCGACTTCGGTCCTTTGCATATCGGATGCAGGTTGCCCTCCTTAGGCTCAACGGGTGATGAGGTCACCCAATCCGTTCCATACTCACACTACGACATGCTGTATGTATCCTGCTGGAGTGTATCTTCTAGACCCGAGAGTCAGGACCGAAAAGCGGCACGTAGGCGCACATCCGTACCGTAGCGAGGGAGTCATCCAGTACTCTGTAGATGCTGAGAGCCAGTCCAACAGAGTCAATCGAGACGCTGAACGCCAATGATGATCCATCCTCACGTCAAGGAGATGTTCCGTATAATCTGCCATTCCTGGTAAGGTCTGCCGACGGCCAAGCGCCGGATAGTGGCCCGAGAGGAACGCCGATCAAGGAACGCGTACAAGAAAGTTAGAAGAAGTGTCGCTCCCGCACTGATCGGCAGTAACTACTGATTGATAGTTACCCAAAGGTTGATACCGCCCATGACACGTTTAGAAGTCATATGCAGACACTGATAGAATCCTTGCAATCTGGCTTTAAGGGTATGAGGCGCCGCATGATCTGGGCCGCAGGATGAGGTCGATTAAGCACGAGAATTATGTGGTAGACCAATAGTCCCCATGGCGTCGGATTCGATACCATCTGTTCGCCTGTCCTATGAACGAGATGGAACCTGGATGCCTGATTGTTCGCCCTGCACCGTAGCACGGTGAAGTGCGCGTTGGGCCGACAATAGACCCTGAAAACACAGCAGCAGTTGATAGGAGCGGGGCTTTGCGCCGTCCTACGGAGTAGAGTATGTCGAAGAGACCTGACAGAGAAGACCCAGAGCAGCAATGAGATAGCACGTGTTGGGTACTCAAGATCTGTCGTGAGCAGGGCCGATTCTCGGGAGTGGTGAAGCAGTAGATCCAGCGAATCATCGTCTGACACACGGCGGTGGTCCGAAGCCAAGATGACAGCAACCCGCATAAGCGAAGGAACAAATGAATTTGGCAGAAACGGTCTCTGCGCAGACGCAGGTTCGGTCATTCTGCTGCAAGTTCGTAAGACAAGCGTGTCTCAAACGCCTGCAGATGGGGTTGCAGGAGCTGGATACTCTGCATTCTGCTTTGGGATAATTGACTTCGTCATACTGAGCTGTCAAGCCGCGCAATGAATCGAGGATTATGGGATTTCCATCGCAAGGCCGTGAGTACTGATAACTGCAACCGTATAGCCTCAAGGCCGCCTTGTAGCCTTTGCAAATCGATGCAAACCAGCGCCAGTGCTGCCATTGGTCTCTAGATAAGATGCATGCCGAGTAAATAGGGATTCGAATGTTTTTGTGCCCCAGGCAAAGATGCAAACTAGGCAGTATGCACAATTCTACCAGGTACCAGATACCAAGAATGCCTGCCGAGTCGGAACTGCAGGAACTTGAGCCTGGTATCCAGAAGACAGCGAAGCGAGAGAGGGCTCTGGGGCTTTGATCGTGACCGCCTACTCCAATGAATCAAGCGCGGCATGCAGCCTCGACTCTGGCCAAATCGTGGGGCTAACTCGGCCGTTGGGCATCAGCGAGGACGCTCGAAACATGAAGAGGCGGTGGATGATTCGTCACGATGTTGTTATTGGAGCATCGAACAGGGCTTTTGAGATGGAGTGCGGTTCTCAACGCCGCGGCCGCTGTAGGCGAAAGGGCAGTCGGTGTCGAAGGTGACCGTTTCGCAATCCTGAAGTGTTACGCAAGAGCCATCGGCGTGTCTTCATTGCACGATGCAGGCAGCTCTAGAACCCCCCAAAGATCCCACCGCCATCGTCGTCCCAGGCCAGCTGAGGACGAGGTTGCGGTGTGTGTGAAGCGGCAGCATCGTGGGGAAAGACGGCGTAACGATGGCGGCTGGTTGTGGCTGACGATGGAGGAGCTAAATTAAGCGCAAGAGACCAGGCGGCCAACAAAGCTGGTGGGGTTCATCCAAGACGGTCCCTGACTCTCTGGGACTGCGGCGTGCCTCGTGCTCCGTATCGAAATGGAGACGACGCAGAACTAAAGTCGGATAGATTGACTTTTGTCAGACGCCATGGCAGCAGCCACAGTCTATCCGTACACTACATACAAACTCAGGTCTCCAAGGGCGGGCCAGTCTGAGGGCTGTGTGCGCGCAGTAAGCGTTGCCTGTGAACCGTGGGGTACAGAGCAGGGTCTGGTGTTGCGCACGATGTGTCATCCGTTCCCTCTGTGATCAGCATGTTGGATACCTGAGCTGGGCTGGACTGGCTGACGCGGGTTACGGCTATGCAGTGCAGTGGCTATCGACGGGAATTTCTAGAAGGCCTTTAGTCTACACGTGTTGATGGAGTCGTATGGGGCGCTTGAGGGTGGCATCGCGGATGTGACGACGGGAGGCCGTCGCGGATTGGGCGGCGGGGCAGAGGGGCAAGTCGAACGTTGCGCCGCGATGAATTCATTGCGTGAGACGGAGTATTGCGTAGTAAGACGAAGTCAAAGCCGACGGTCGTAGGTGGCACGTCACCTAGTAACTATCTGGAGATCCAGTGAGTGGTGCGGCGTGGAGTTTGGTGTATTACACAGAGATAACGGGGTTGCCAGCGAATGAGAAGAATATGACGGAGAGAAGGGTGGCAGGTGAGGGAAAAGAGGACGTTCTAGATGCAGGTCGAAGTCTCGTCGGGAAGTTGGCAGGGGATCATTTCCAAGCTGGAGGGACAAGAGATCCAGGGAGGCAAGGAGGGGGTAAGCTGCGCTGCCCTGGCTGCGAGTCGACAAGTCTAGACGGTGACCAAGAAAACGGGAAGCGATCCGGGAAGGGCGACGAGTGCCGATCGTTGAAGCAACGGATCAATCAGATGGGCAGAAAAGGAAAAGCCAGCAGGAGGAAATTCTCCCTGGTGGACGGACGATCCTCGCAAGATGATTTGGTCATTTTGCATTCTTTTTGGGCGAGTAACCTCTTCTTTCGTATTCTTCCTGTTGTATGTATTAATTAGGTCATCAGGTATCATGGTTTCCCATTAGCCGCGCGAGGAAGCACAACGATGACTGGAAATGGCAATGACACGGGCGTCAGGATTATTCGGATAGGTCCCTCCCTACTGATGACACGACACGTTCATTCAGGCTTTAGTCGCCGCCCAAGCCACAGCAGGCGGCCCACGAGGTATTGGGTCATTGACCGCTGAGAAAAGAGACCAGCTCCGTGAGAGCCAGGCCAAGCAGGCACGCAGGCAGGAGTGAATCTTCTCGGTCGCTGCTGGGATATCCAGTGGCCTGGAGACCATCCGATAGACCGCCTTGACTTTGGGACCCAAGCCAGCCTGTGTGCGGCGTGCCTGTTTCCAGCCGTGAGTTTCGATAGCGATGACTGTGACTTTCACTCAGCCACGAGAGGCGCCAGCTGGTTTAAGAACAAGTGACTGTATTCGTAGTAGTGAACATGGGGGGACGTGGGTTGTACGTGGCGGTCGTCGGGCTCGAATCGTTAGCTTACAAACAGAGTTTTGGGGGGCTTTCCGATCAAAATTGATGGGCAAGCCGCAAACCGAATGTTCCCGACCTGCCTTGTGGCCTGCCTGCGTCTCCAGCGGGAACGATGCCAGGAATAAGCTCCAAAGCAGGTCTCCATTCCGACCGTCCCAGCGGGACACTCCCCAAGACTCCCTCGGTCTCTCTATCCTTGCAGTGAAGAATCTGGGTGCGACTGTGGGCTCCGACCCTTACTGCGTACTGCGTAGAAGTTAGCGGGCAGACAGACAGGGTCAAGGTCTCTAGGAAACATGCCACCGGAAGCTAAAACCGCGAGACCTGTCGTGCCACCCTGGCTCCCTTTCGAGCAATGCTGCGAGACGTATTCGCTGTCGGGCGTCTTTGAAATCTTCAGTGTTGGAGTCGCAAAAATGGTGACAGCGAGAAATTTGCAAATGCGACACGGCGCCTTATTCGTGGGACATTGTTGCTCCCCTAAAAGTTCCTTCGGCCAGGCCAGAATCAAAAGGCAAGAGGTCACAAGCAATTCGTACCGTATAGGGCAGGGAACATCCCACGGCGGGCCACCGTTCCTGCTTTCCCCGTTTCTTGCCCAAGGTATGCGTACCTTCCATCTTCCATACCTTACCTTACGGACACCTTATTACTTGGGAAGGAGGACTGAGAAGGCCGAGAGACCGCTGGCTCCTTCCCGGTGATTCTTTTCCCTCGCTCGGCCGGGTGACTTGTCTGCATTGCAAAGCCAAGCCGAGCGAGACTTCCTCCCGTCTTTTCCCCCCACACATGCAGTGCCTTCGTGTCTCGTTGTCGCCAAAAATGGGGAGGGAATAAGGAAATAGCAAGATAACATGGTACATGACAGAGTACGGGTCTGTGTACTTGTCGCCATGTCACTACTTTACTGTTCCGAGTCCTCCTTCACGCCAACTCGCTCAAGGATGAGGCACAGAATGACTTGTCGATGACTTGTAACTCATCGTCGCCTTCGTTCACGCATCCACATTCCCCAAGAGGCAGACCGTCCGTCCATTTGGGCGACTCACGCCTCTGGCGGTGGCCTGGCCTCTCGCCAGCCATACGGAAAACCCTGTCGCTCCTCCTCCCTCTCCAACCCATCCATCCCGTCTTGTCCAATCTTTTGGGGTTCTGAGGGAGAAGACCATACAGCAAGCAGCTGGTAGTGGGCACCGTAAGGCATCTTGGGTCAAGCAGGGGGGATGGCAAGTACTTCTGAGTTGTACCCAAGGGAAGGTAGCAGTGCAGGGCCGGTTGTTCCAATTCCAGTCGTGTGGTGTCGTACCGCCTGGGGTCCTTCTGTAGGTACTCTGTATACCTCACTACGTACCTCAGGTACCGAAGTATCCTGAGCTGGACGACTTTCCCCGTCTCTGCCGTCGCTGCCTCTGCCATCTCCGATCCCCGTCCTACGTCTTCCCTGCCCGTCCGCGCCAGAGCTGCCCACCCTCCGTTAAGAAGCAAACCACCTCCCACCCGTCGCGCCCCGACCCCCAGCATCACGTATTACTCTTTCCGTCCTTGCACTTTTTTTATTGCTCTCATCGAACTGCCCTCCTGCCTGATGGCTATATTCTTGCACTTGTATCATATCCACGAACTCTTGATCATACTCACTTTATAATCACTCTCACATCTCAACTCCTTTCCATCCCCAACCGCCTCGGAATCATACACCCCCTGCTTTATCCAACCGGCCCCATCGCCTCAGGTCCTCATCGGAAACCAACACCCTGGCTTCACGTCAAACACACGTTATTGCCCAATCCTTCACCAACCTGCACAATACTTCACGCCCTCTTCCCCCAATCTCTGGAGCCCAATCTGCCAGCTCACTTGCTCAGAGGCCTTGTTCCATTTGGATTATATGAAGCCTTGCTCCCTCCCCTAGCAATCCTGGCATACAGACACAGCTCTCCTACATTGTATAACTTCAACAACACTCCTCTCTCAACCTCGAATCTCCCCTCCGGCTCAACCAGCACAACACACAATTACATATCGCCATGTCACATTCATATCGGAAAAACAGCTCCAAGAGCTCGACAAGTAGCCGAGACTTCCGCAGGAGTAGCGAATCTTGCGACTCATACGAGACGTATGAATCACAGAGCACAACACCCACTTCTTACTATGCGAGCACCGAAGCGTCATCAGTCAAAGAAGCTAGAACCGTCTCTAACAAGATCCCGCCTGTCTACGAGGAAGACATATCCCCTTCTACTAGTAACTGTTTGAGATCTTCCGTCGACACTTTCGACTCAAGTTTGGCTTCGGACGACGAAGATGAGCTTGAGCTTCAACGGGAAGCCGAACTAGACAACTTCGACAAGCACCGCGACATCCCGCCTTTGCCTACCTACTACCGTGATATCATCGACACTGATGTACGGCCATCCACACCCCAGGACTTTGGCAAACTGTTCCCATCCATGAACAGGTTATCTATCTGCCACGACGAATTTACCCCGGACGGCAACATGAATCTCAGAGTAGACACCGTCGCCCCCGGTCGACGCCCCTTCAACATTCAGCTCTTCCACCTGCGCATGTACGACCTCAGCAAGCGTGAGTTCTCGCTTCGACGTTACTGCCGCGAATCCGGCCGCGAAGTCTGCAACTCTAAACGTAAGTACGTTGAGGAAACCAACCAAGAGCGACCAACACTCCAGCGATCCGTCTCAAGCGCCATCAAGACCCTCTCCATGAGGAGACCTCCTCTGTCGCGCACCAACTCGGGCGGCTCAATCTTCAGAGGCAAGGGCAAGGACGGAGCTTCGCAGCGCCCACAGTCCAGCTCTTCGTCTATGCGCACTTTTGGCGACGACGCGGCAAGTTTCAAGCGTTCAGCCTCATTTGAAGCGAAATCCAAAGCTCGACCGGTTCCCAGCAACACCATGAAGCTCGAGTTCTCCAATTATGCGCGCGTCGACGTGTCACGCCGCGGCGGTGCCAACAACAAGCGCTACGAGTTTGACTGGTGGGGTCACAAGTACCAGTGGAAGCGTGTCACTGACAAGAACCTCGGTGTCGTCTCTTTCCACCTCGTCAAGGACGGCAACAACGACGCCCGGGATGCCGTTGCGCACATTGTCCCCGAGACACGTTCGCCCAACCAAGTTATTGAGGATGAAAGTGCCGGTGGCTGGGTGCCCCCTTGCCACATGTGGATCAGCGATCGCAGCGTCCTTGACGCCGTCACCGACGTCGCCGATGTGATTATCGCCACAGGCCTCATGGCCCTTGTCGACGACTGCATCAAGACCCGCTGGCAAACGAAGAAGTTTACCCGCATCCCGGTGCCCATGACCTCCCGGTCTGTCGACGTAGAGCATGTAGGCCCCAAGGCCTTTATGCAACACCTTTTCCAGCGCCGCCCCTCTGATCAAGCTTCAAGTCCATTGCGACAACGCCCGATTTCGACTTATTGAGATGAATGCAGGAGGCGTCATTTTCTGATCAACTCTTTTTTTTCTTTCATCATTGGAAACCAAAACTTATCACTTTGTTACGGATTTCTCATCTCTTGCGGGGGACAACAAAGAACCAAAAACAAGCACATTTTCGGATGGAAGATCCAAATCGACTTGAGATCGACTTACACAGACTCCAAGAAGGGAGCAAAACACAAACAGCGGATCATGCGCAGCACATACAGAACAGAACAGGAAACAACACACAATGACAGCAATGTGGATATGATGGGCAGGACACGGTACCATGGGGACAATTCCTCCCGCTCACAGCATGGAGTGGAATGGCGTTTTGGACTTCCCCTTTTTTTCTTTTTCTTTTTTTCTTCTTCTTCTCTTTGGAGTGTGTGCATCAATCTCTCTGTATGTAATTTCTTACTTTTTTCCTTCCATGGAAGATGCATCAAACAGGCGCTGGACTGGAAACCCCCCCCCCCCCAAGAGCTGGGATGGAATGGATGAATTGGATGAATTGCGAAAGCAAGCAAGCAAGCCCTGTACGAATCGAAACGACTACCTTCGAAACCTCTTCCTTTCTGGATTAGGTATTTCGTAAATATGAATGAAGGCACAAAGATGCATTATTGCCTCGATTCTGATTTGCTCAAACTACCTCATTGTGCATGACTGAAGAGAATGTTCCATGGTCATGTTGGTGTCAACGCCCACTGCTAGTGCTCGATGCTCTGAAGAAAAAAAATTGAGATAAGGAAGAACACACACTCGCACAAGCTCGATTACACGACGGACAAGAATACTGAAGCTTTTCCGCCGCGAGTGAACGGGTTACCTATCGTCAATGTCACACCACACAACTCCACTCCCCATCGTGAGATTTCGGTACGACGCCAAGCCCAGCCGAGAACGTCCCCCCCCCCCCCCCCCCCCCCCCCCCCCCCCCCCCCCCCCCCCCCCCCCCCCCCCACCCCCCCCCCCCCCCCCCCCCCCCCCCCCCCCCCCCCACCCGGAATCACCCCCCCCCCCCCCCCAGCAACCCCCCCCCCCCCCCCCCCACAAACGACACCGACCTGGCGACACCAGCTCCGCTCTGGCGTGACCCATGACGTTCCCCCGGTCCGTCCCGCCGGTAACAAAATGCCAAACTTCACTATGCCGTTTACACCACTTCGCTGGGTCCCGGCTGGCCGAAAATCACCCCACCACCGCTGCACAAAACACGTTCTCTGCCTTTCCCACCTTGACAGCGGAAGGTGGAAGAAAGGAAGGCGTACGGAGTGTCGTGGAAGAGCTTCCTCGCTTGTCTAATCCAGCAGAGGAAGTGACATCTCACCACCACCACCACCATCGTAATTTTGCAGACGGTCACCCGGAGTGCCATGAACGGTCTTTGTGTTCCCCGGTTTTCTGGGGCGATTTCAAGATTCGGATTTATGACGGAATGTGTCCCTTTCCATCGTCGTACTATCTTTCTCCGCTCTGTTCCGTGGTCTTTATCGGAATCGGGGGTGTTTCGAGGAACCCTCTCCCCAGCATCTGCCCTTTGCGGGGGTGGCAACAGGCTTTGTCCATTCCACATGTGTCGTGTGTATAGGTGCGCGTGTTGCAAATGCTCACTCTTTCCGCCAATGTCCATCCGCCGCGTTCAGTACTCACTAAACACGAAGCCGAAATCATCCTTCCTCTCCCCAAACCACCCCGCCAAATCAAGCTTCATCAGCAACCTCTCCACGCCACCGACCCTCCGCGGCACATACTCCCCTTCCTCTCTAAGAACCCCTTCCTCGCCGCCCTCCTCCTCGTCCGCAAACGCCGCCGGATCCGCCTCCAGGCTCCGCAACGCAGCAATCACGTCCCGGATCCCGTCCTTGACATGCTTCTCCACGTCGCGGATCGCGGCGCGGACCTCTTTTTCCTCAATCTCGAGGTCCACAAAAGCGTCGACGACGCCCGCGTCCGCTTCGAGGTCCATCGAGGTCCAGACGGCGTGGAGACGCTGCGTCAGTGCGACGAGGTGATCCGTGTGCGTGAGGAGGCTGTACAGCGGGTCCGTGTAGGTGGGAAAGGTAAGGAGGAGGCGGGTGGAGAGGGCGCGGAGGTAGGCCCTGTGGGCCGTGGCGAGACTCTGGGGGTCGTGAGTTGTGGTCGTGGTTGGTTCTGCTCGCTTGAATGACTTTGTTGTTGGCGTGCTCTGAGCTAGCCATATGTCGTCGTCGTCCTCATCTTCTGCCTCGACTACTGTCGAAGGTTTAGATGCTGCCTTGGTTGATACACCCTGAGGCCCCGTTTCAGTGCCGTCCGTCTCTGCCTTGGGAGTCAGCCAGTCGTGAAAGCCGTCCCATAGGCCAGCCACTACTTCCGTCTGTAAGTATGCCTCCGTCTCGGAGAGAAAGAATATAGCAGAGCTGCATGTCACCCAGGCGCTGCGCAAGGCATTGGACCGCTGCGTATAGCGCTGACGCAGCAGTATCACCTTAGAGCGCCCCGCTCGAGTGCTTCCGGCGGGTGGTCCTGGGGGTGCCGGATGATGCCGGCGTAGGGATGTGATCTTCCACAGCTCAGTGAGACGAATATGTGCGCGGCGAATAGAGAGAAGGTATGAGTTGATGGTGGAATAGATCTGTAAGTCGGAAGGGGTAAGGAACATGTCCATGGGCGAGGGAATCTGCATTGTCAAGACGACAGGGACTGATAAAAGGAGGTTGCGGAAAGGGGTCGTGGCCAGAGTTTTCGTCGCGGGCCGTGATACGCTTGCTTCGAGCTTGAGAGGCACTGCCGGCTTGGACTTTGTGAGAGTCAACCGCAGAAGCTCCCTCGCAATCTCCAACCCCTCGTCTTCGTCCGCGTGCTGTCCCTGCATCAAGCCCATGGCCGCCCATGTCTTGGCCAGCACGGCGGCGACCTCGCCCTCCTTGACGGCAAAGGTGCCGAGGCCTTCTCGCTTCTCATACGCGAGATTGTCGGATCTCTTCCACCTGCTCCGGAGCTTCTCGTCAGCCTGCTGCGTCAGAGCCATGGCAAATTCGCCGCGGCCAAGAAGGAAGAACTCTCGCAAAACCTGCAGTGCCTCAACAACTTTGGCGAGAGGCAGGAGCTTGAGCAAGATCGTCCGTGAGAGTGTGAGGCGGATCGAGGTAATGGCGCGCGAGAAGCTCGCCGTGTGGAGAGGGTAGGTTAAAGCGGATAGCTCTTTTAGTTGCGAAGACAGGTGATCGAGGCCTTGTAAGCCAGATTCAACACTGCCCTTGACACGGACGTGGTTGAGCGACCTGCCGATGAAGAGCATTGACGATGCCGTTGGTAGGGTTACAAAGTTGGGTAGAAAAGCCGGCACCGAGATGTATTCCTGTCGCGGTCAGTCATGAACCTCACAGTGACCCATTGCCGATGACATACCTGGTCACCTCCCTCCGACTTTTGCACAAAAAAGTCCTCCCCTCCAAAGGTCGGCAATCGTCCGTAGAGGATCCAAGCAGAAACCTGCTTCAGCCAGGCCGTCTCTGCCACGGATACGAGGCTCATAGCCGTCCTCTCAATATCGACATAGCCGCTCTGCAGCTCACTCCTCAGCCTGTCAATCAGCTGTGCCCCGCGACACGTTTGCCCTTGCTGCTTCTTTAGCATAAACTGCACGATCTCCCACAACCATTCCATGCGTCTCGTCCACTCAGAAAACTCCCCCACAACGGCGGTCAATGGCACAATGTTGTAGGCGCCGACAAGACTCGAGTCCTTGCGCAGTATCGTCTCCTCGACATCGAGGACCTTGCGCTGGAAAGCGGCTAGGTGGACGGACTGTATCGCGGTGGCGGTGGCGCGGCATATCGTAGATGGGTGCTCGGCGGCGATGGGGGCGGTGTAGCTCTGCAGTTTGACATGGAGGTCGCTCAGGTGGGCGGCGGTGGCTAGGAGTTCGCGCTCCGGTGGTGAGATTGCCGTTGATAGCGCATTGGGATCTGTGTTGTCGGTTCGGAGGAGAGGGGAGGGGTGCCCAGAGAGGGCGAGGAGGACTTCGTGGAGCATGCCGGCTGTTTGCTTCTAGTGAGGGGAGAGAATCGAGGTGTTAGTCGGGGATTAGGTTACAGACAGGGATTCGATCATGGGTTCAAAGAAGGGGACGGAGGAGGAGGAGGAGGATGTGGCACATTTCGCGTGGTTGCGGCGGCTTCTTGGACCTTGACTTTTCGCCAAAGTCACGGAGAAGCAAGATGAAAGCGCCTAATAGCTCGAACCGACACATTTACTCGTTTCTCGGTGAGTGGAGGTTGGCAATACGGCGGAGAGGAAAACCGCCGGGTGGATGTCGTCCAGGATTTGGCGGGATGGCGGGGCAGGTTGGCGGGAGGAAGCAAAAGACGGGGAGAGTTGGGCTGCGTTGCAACAACAGGTGACGGATGGTTGGCAAATGGATAAATTACCTGATGTGTTTGGGCTGCATAGAACTAAGGCATCATGGCACGAACCCAAAAGGATATCCAATCTCTCTGTCTTTCTCTCGAACGGGAACAGGAGAGCGCGAGCCACAACAGAACAGCACCGATGTCAAGAAGGCTCCATGCTGAGGGCCTGATCCCTTCCAATATCACAGTAGTCGCATTGATGGAAGTGGGCGCCAGGAGGAAAGCGCGATCTGACGCGACCGGACGGGCTAAAGTGGCTACACTGAGACAATCAGACCCGGCAAGGCGTTTGCGGATCCACGTGACCATTTGTCTAAGATTAGGTAATCGCCGACGGCTTCCGGCACACCGGCACCTGGATGTGTACTCCGTCTTACCCGTCCAAGGCTTGTCCCGAACGAACACTCTTCACCTACAATATGAATTCTCTAGCCTTACAAATGCGGCCAGCGGACTCTAAGGGGTAGTGGCTTATGGTTTCTTTGATTGGGCTACCTAGGTTTCGTTTACTCGTATTGTATACGCACTGCCTGGACAAAACTGCATAGTGGCCCCCACCATCCATCCCTCTTCGTTCCAAGTCTTTCACACTGAACTCAGTACCTCTTAAACGTCCAAGGGTCCCATCTATTTCACTCAGAACAATTATCCTCCAATACACACTTACGGCCTCTTGCCAGCTGGCTGCTTGCCATTGCCCTCATACGCCGTGTACATACTGGCCGTATCGCTCTGGTCGTCTTTGCGAGTTTTCTGGTCTTCCAGATAACCCACTGCTCCGCCATCGCCGCCTCCGACGATGATCTGTCCACCACCCTTTACCTTACCGACGACCATACCCTTTGCTACGCTCTTCAAGATTGCTCTGCGGGATACACCAGTCACATCAATGTACACCAACCCGACGTTCTTGAAGCCGCCGCCAATGTTCCTGGATACTTGGCCAGCTTCAGCACCCCAACGGTGCTCCACCATCTGTGACACGCTGGAAGAGGTGCCAGTCAACAGATTACGTCCTGCTTGATCGATGCCGTCCGCAACAGTGTTGAACGCCATCAAGCTCCTGTTCAGCAGGCCAGGCTTGTAACCCTCAATTGGGTTGCCATCCTTATCGTATCCTCTTCCACTGCCATCCTTCTTTCTAGCCAGGGTGGCGCCCAGGTTTTGGGCAACTTTGCCCACCGCTCCAACCGTGGTCGCCGACAGACCAGCCGCCTTGGTGGAAAACTGGTTGATGCGTCGTACACGGTCGTGCGCGGCAGGAGTGAACGTCACGGGTTCGGTCGTCGCCTTTGTCTTCTTTGTAAAGTTGTCGGCCGAGGACTGCAAACCCTTTGTGATCAAGTCCGACGATGTCACAATGAGTCGAGACGCTTTTGAAGCATTCGACACCAAGAACGACTTCTTGTACGATGGGTGCATAATCATCTCGCGGTACTCCTGCGACACGGGCTGAACGGTAATGGCTTGGCTGTTGTCGGCAGGGAGTGTAATCTCCACCGGATCTAGCATGCCATGTGAGTCAAGCTCGGCCGAGGTGCCGCCAAACTTACCTTTTGTTCCAGGCTTGACGCCCAGCTCCTCTACAACTTGGTAGTTCTCAGTCAGCTCCCCAATGACGCTTCCGTCTTCTTCGTCAATCAGGACAATCCGGCCGCCATTGTGCTGGGAGCTGTGGGCTCCCGGGGCATAGCCCTGTCCGGGCTGGTAGTCGGCCGGGTTGTAGGCGGGGAGGCCATCGGCGGCGGCAGCTCTGGACTTGGCAGAGGGACGATCGGTAACGGGGTCATCATAGGGGTATGCGGAGGCTGCGGCGGCGGCTTTGGCCGATTTGGATGAGGTCTTTGGCGGCGGGGCTCGCTCGAGGAATGCAGTGCATTGCGCAAGGATCGTTTCGAAGGTGTCGACGTCCTCCTGCAGTCCTTTCCGGCTCCCAGTGTCTGGGAACTCGATACGTGTGAAAGCGCCACTGTCTGGGCCCAGATCCCATCTTGGAATCAGGTAGCTAGTTGGCGGCTGGTGGTAGATCTGTGTTGTCGCAGGAAGAGGAAGATCGAGCTCGGGAGGTAGATGGAGGTGCAGGTAGAAGTCCTCGGCGGGGGAGTCTGCGTCGGTGAAGGGCGAAGAAGTCGGTACCATCAACAGCGACAAGGTCTGGGGCCCGGCGGGTGTGAGCGACTCCTCCTTGCCATTGGAGATGTGAAAGGCTTGGACGCCATTGATGGCGTACAGAAGCTTGGGGTCCTGGTCTCAAGGTCAGTGAGGGCGGTCGCAATATTGTCTCCGTCTTGGAGGGCATACGTTGTGTCCCGAAGCCATGATGAAGATGGGTGCGCAAAACAGGCGCAGAAAGTTGAGGTCTTGGTTACGTCAGGTCGGGCCTCGTACAAGATGGTTGCTCTTGGGTGGTGGTGTCTGGAGATGCGACTGGCGCGTAAATGTCGTGGAGAACTTTGGTGAGAGACCGCGGGGTCCAGAAAGTCTAAGGGGCTCGGTTTGCAAGTGGGAGAGAGCGTCTGCTCGGGAAGTTGTTGAAGCGAGTTGCGGTCCGGAGGATAAAAGGTCTGGTTGGTACACTAGGTGGACGCCAGCGATCAGACAAAGTGACGACTGTGTAGGGGAACTGCAATAGCTATTCGCCAGCAGGAAACCTCTGAGCAGGAATCGCAAGGAACGGTAAAGGTGAGTGGCACTTCGGATGGCGCTCTGAGACTTTGTGACGACGAGCCGGGTTCTGTCTATTCAAGGACCAGGGGTGTAGTGAGGGCGAGTATGGTTGGATTGTGGGTGCGTCGAAACAGCTTGCATGGCGCTTAAAGCAGCTGTTGGTGGTGGTGCGCCGTGCTTTAGCTTGGTGATGGCGCTGGTGCGTGCCCGAGAGGCCTCTGGGCGGCGAGCGACGTCATTGGCCACTGTTGACTTTCAAGGTGTTCCCAGTCCTTGCACCCAACGACACCTTGTTTGATGGGAGACTCGACGACAAGTGACGGACCCCTTTTTCGCCCCCCATCCACTCTCTCTTCAGTGGATTCGTCACTTGAAGTTTGATTGTTCAGTAAGAGGGGTTGAAGTGTCGATTGCTTGCACAGCCACCTTGGATGCTGCAAAAGAGGCGGGCATGGCGGGGTTCCAGGTGCTTGGAGGAGGAGGTGCAAGACTTGGCAGAGGGAACCAGCGACTTGGGAAGCTCTGACCACCTTTTGATGCTCCTTCCAGCGGCTGTCACACGCACTGACACACCCCCATGTGCTTTCTGGCGCGCCCCACCCGCTCATGGTTGATTGTACTGCAATGACGAATAGTCAAAGAGAAGTAACCCATGGTGAAGGAGACAGTGGCGGCATCAACACCTTCGACACAGGTCCAGCAGTATGCGTCACCTGATTGGCCAAGACTTCCAGAGCCTCAAATTCTTGTCAGCTGTGTTGAACAGAGAGACTCCAGAACTTGACCTACCCGCAGAGCATGTGACCCGAACCACCAGCCCCAGCTACGAAGAACAGCTTCACCCAACCTGAACTGAGCCATACTGGAAAACAGACACGAGCTGTGAGGGACAGAACCTGCAGAAGGCGTTAGCTGCGTATTCAGGTAACCAAGAGCAAAGGTAAGGAAGCCATACCACTGTCTTGGTGTGCCAGCTTGCAGGTAACTATCCTCAGACTTGGACTCCAAGAGCACGGATGAAGAGACGGCTTCTCGTCCCGAAGTCCAGTCTGGCTAGGGGTATTCGACGATGGTACTGATGTTGGCAGGCTTTCTGGAGACAGTCCGGGAGGGACCGACACCACGACAGCCAGTAAGGATAGCCATCCTACAACATCGCATAGATGACAAGTCTTCGTGGCCAGACTCTTGACAAGGAAGTTATTGAGATGAAGTGATCAGTCGGTCATCTGGTGGAAGACAGGCTCGTGAGTCGAAGCCATGACGAATAGCTTTGGCAATGACCTTGGACAAGCCGAATAGAGTACATGACTTCGTCACGACACATGTGCCGATGACGTGAGAAAAGCCAGTGCAGATGCCTCGATAGAAGGCACCATGTCGTGAGGTGCTGCGATAGAAAGCGTCGTGATGGGAGACGGCAATGACGGTAGATGTTGTGAGAGAAAGGCGTTGCAATGGAAGATCCATGATGGGAGATGCTGCTGGGCGAGATGCCGTGATGGAGGCGTTTCGATAAGAGACAGCCATGACGAAGAATGCTTCTTTAAGAGACGGCGTGATAGGGGGTCCAGGCTGAGAGATGATGATGTACAAGATGCCGGGAAGACGCTGTGATGGGAAACCTCATGATAGGGGATAGCCATGGCAGAGAGTCTCTTGGTCAGGACGTCGTCGTAGAAGATGCCGTGATGGAGGAGACACAGTAAGAGATCCATGATGGAAGAGGCTGTCATACAGGTTGCCAATGTGGAGGATGTCGTGAAGCAAGATGCCATGAAGCAAGATGCCATGAAGCAAGATGTCGTGAAGCAAGATACCGTGATGTAAGATGTCGTAAGAGAATTCGTCGTCCAAAAAGCTCCCGTGAGAGCACATAATTTTTGAGGTCCCCCGCTGGAGCCCAAGGACCGGGGCGTCGGAGATTGTCAAAAGAAGACACCGTCGGGTGAGACACCCTCTGTGAACCACGATGGGCTCATCAGGGCAACGTCCACCTGCACCGCCCTGAGCGGCACAAGGCTTCGGAAAGCCCGTCATTCCTCTCCAGATTACCAGAGCGATCTCCTTGATGATCTCCGTTGCGGCCTTCTCCATACCGCTCAGGAAGACCTTCAGAAACGCGACCATGACCGGACGAGCCCATGTGTAGGCTGTGGTGTTTGAGAATTTTGTCCAGCCACGTCGGAGAGATCGTCGATAGTGGATTCCGAGGAAACAGAGGGCGACCACGACCAGTGTCGCGAGGATGAAGGCGGAAAGGAGGTCCATGTTGTAAGTATAAGTATAAGTGTGTATCGCTATGCGGCTCGCTTTGATTATTCGATGGTGAATGATAGGCGGCCTCCTGGGAGAAGAAAAGAAGAAGAAGAGGAGGAGAAGAGATGGGGGGAGATGATGGGTCTATATACCAGTCCAAGAACTTCATGGAACAGAGTCGAGCCTTCCGACTTTGAAATTTAGGAATACCCTTACTTGCTTCCGATATTTTGAATTGACGCGGTTGGGCTAGTGTTACTACCCAGTCCTACTATTTCGATGCGGAAGTTGCAGATGTCTGGAGGTTTGAGGCAGTCATTGAGCATATCATCCCTTCCGCAATTTCTTCTTGACATGTCTGATGAAAGCATATATTCGGCAAGCACCAACTGAGACTAATGTATTCTTGCTCACTATCTGCATGTTCCTACGGAATAAATGCAAGCGTAACATGGAAGCTGCCCAAACATTCGGCTATGATCAGTTAGAGATGACTGCTCCTTCCATGGTGCGCAGACATCTGCGACAACTGCGATACACATCATGATGACTCCTCTTTCCCAGTTCCCCGTGTCCGACACGGTTCAGCCGGCATTGCTGCTGAGCCTGATCATTGTGAAAGAAAGGTATATAGTACCTTCCCTCTCGTCGACCCGGGCAACAGCAACCCTATCTCCATCTAGGCAGTGACGTCTCGGCCATAGGTATTACTAGAAGCAGGGCCTGACGGCGACGCTTCATCATCATGGTTTTGCTTGGTCTTGTCGCTACTTCGACCCGCATTGAATCTTCGCTGCCGTTTTACCTTCCCTAGGATTCGTGATTGCAAATCAATCACAGGTTACAATAGGATCGACTACTCCGTTTTCTTCCTCAATTTCTTTTCTTGTAATGTTGGTTGTATGGGCCCTTTCCAACCCCTTTCATCTTTCGCACAATGTTCCTTCACCCGAGGTCTCATATTGCTCTCATACCTTCACAGCTCCTCTTCAATTCGAAGGCGATAGAACAAGGCTAGTGCCTGGTTGATGCTCTCCAGCATGATCAGCAGAAGTATCGATTCCCAAGCATTATCGTAGTAAGACTGTCCGCTGAAGAACATCGGAACGACCGACAAGCCCCATATGAGATAGTGCTCCGTGGCGGCTTCCGAGTCTTCAATGCCGCTCTCTTCTCGAGCTCGTCTCGTAGCGGCTACACCAGCTCGAACGTCATGTATGACATAGTGTATAAGGAATCCAAAAATTTTCCACCCATCATACTCTCCAAAAATACCTCCACAACACCCCTTGCCGTGTCTGCGCAGGACCAGCCTATAGTTAGGTTCTTGACCAGGCGTTGTGCCGTTCAGAAGATCCAAGCCGTGAATAGTTCCGTTATTGCCAGCCTGCTGCGTGCCGAAATCTTCAATGCTGCCGACGTCGTAGACCTTGGTGTATTTGGACCAGATGAACCCGTAAGGGTCGTGGCCGAGTGTGCGCCACGGCTGCTCCTCGGCGTCGAATCGAAGCACGAGGAGCACGAGGAAATAGTCCATGATGCCGAGGATAACCATTCCGTATAATTCGCAAACGATGCGCATGCATTGGTTGAGGAAGTAGTAGTCTGATATTTTGCCGTCGTATGCATCGATGGCACTCTCTATTGCGTCGAAAACGTTGTATATGTACATGTTGTATGCGAGTTGACTGCAATTTGCGAGTAAAAGAGTGAGGAGGCGATATGTTCGAGGATTGGTATGTCTTTGGAAGATAAGGTGATGGAAAGATGGGGCGACGAGGATAAGATGAACGAGTAGAAGCAGGGTGATGAGACGGTGGGTTGGATCTTTTATAGCCGACAAAGCCGGAGAAAGACTACAACTGCTCAATAAGGTAGACTTACAAGAACAAATGGACTTGACACATTCTGGCTGCTTGACGCCTGAATATGGGTCTCATGAACATTATCTCCGAAAAGATTTGGGCACCCGTTTGGCCGGATTTCGTCGTTGTCATCGAACCTTGGTAACTACAGTTTCTTGTCATCAACGGTCACATAATCACCCCCGAAGGGCCCATCCATTGAGAAAACCATCTCGGTGAGGATGTTCAAACCATCGGTCACCAAGTATCTGAGCAATCACTCCTATTCCACGAGATATGGCACGGCATAGAAATGTGCGTCCCGGTGCCTAGGCGTGTGGGCTGAAGACGGCAATTCTTACGAATCGAAACGCGACTGCTAGACGAACATCTTATTTGCAGCAGTTCAATTTGGTGTAGAGAATAAGACGGCTTTACTTCTGTTGGACAGTCTACTTGGCTATACACGGGGTGTCTCGCCAGCATCGAGCGAGGATCCATCTGAGACGTTATTCGTGGTTAATAGGAGCACGAACGGCAATCATCCTAACTGTAATGTTTGCCGTTAATGTTCATACTGGTCACGAATAGCTCCTAGATCGCGATGTGTGGGGTTTCACGGCACCAGAGAAGTAGATCGTTTATCATCTTTAGTGAAGCCACCCACCAGGACAACAGAGCCATGAGGTCGAAGTCGCAAAGAAAAGCAGAAGGCCTGATGGTTAAAGGCTTTGCTGGAGTTCCTGGAGCTTCAAACGATGAGTCACTAGCGCAAGATCATTGGTCGCTCGGTGTCCTCTTGGTGAAGGTGCCGGTCCGAGATCCTGGTCCCCCGTGAAGTCTGGGCCGGTTCTAGCGGGAGACATGGGCCACCAGTTCATCCCGGACAGACCATGGATAATGCTATTGGATTTCAATGTTGTTAATATCCATGCAGTTGAACAAATGTGTGCTACACGAATGCGATTTCTTGAAGATACAGCATGGTACACGGGAGTTTTGGCACTTTGAACGAGAGTGAAGAGGTAGCATGGACACGGACGTAGCCAATGTGCCCTCGTTCTCTTGCACGGTTCCCAGATTTTCAACGGGGATGCTTTGCCAGACTCATCGAAATTAATTGAAGACAAAACACACAATTAACAGAGCTTCGAGGAGCGTACCACACCTGATTCACGGAGCGACGTCAGAACTCACCCAAAAAGCTCGGTGACACTGACACCCGCTTCTACTCCCACATCCCGAAGAGCAAGATGCAACCTTCCCAGCAAATCAGGACCCGTCACTTCCCAAGCATTACCCATTTCCTGTCAGTGCTCAAAACATCCCGTAGCAGCATTGGGCCAAACAGGGTCTTGCATTTGCTCTTTCTTTCCCACGAAACTGAAGAGGGAATGTCGTTCACGCGGCAAGTGGTGGTGATGGAAAGTGGAAACGACCAACCGACCCGTCCGGGTACTCGAAACCCCCCAGCTCTTTCCCAGTACCAAGAGGTTTAGTCTCAATTCTTGTACCTTAAGGGTCCAAGCAGGAAGGAGGCCGAGAAAAGTGAATAAATGCTTCGAGAACCCCCTTCCTTCTGCATTTTCTGTTCCCAAATATATTTGGCAACTTTGACCCGTGTTCTTGTACCAAATTTCCAACCCATATCGATTATTGGGCAAGTCGTGAGGATGAGTTATCCTGCCAATTTCATCATCGGACGCAAGACTTGCACAACAAGTCCCGAAAATGGCCTAGCGGCCTTTTTATGCTTCTCAGCTTGCACACAGCTCGCATTACCCCCTCCATTGAGCAGCACCCTCACAATCAGCGGCACGCGACCCTCTCAGCAGCTCCTCCAGGCTCCAGCGACCTGGAAAGGCACAGCTCGCACCGGTCATCGGCCGAAAATGGTCGGAATTACAGCGTCTCCCTCGGCCGGCACTGCAGCGGCAGCGGCAGCGGACGTGCTCGCCAAGGTTTGGAAGAGGGAATGAGATGACAGCTTATCCAGGGAGGAGAGGGGGGCTTTCTGCACTATGCGGAAATTGGAGTAAACGAGAGAGAGATCTCAACAAGTGTTAGGATCACCGCCACAGCCTTCTTCGCTTCTCTCGACAATTCCTCGTCGTGCAATCGAGAGCTTCCACTCGTTTTTCTTCCACACCCATCCCCGCCTCGACAATCGTTCAACCTCGGGAAAATCGAACATAAAACACGTCGGAGAACGGAGAGATAAGCTCAAAGTCAAATACCGAACTTGACAAGCAACTGTAGCGACAATGGCTCGTTCCTGGAAGCCAGCCTTCTGGGCTCTCTTCCTCATGGTGCAGCTCGGCCTCGCCTCCACCGTCGCTGAGAAAATTGGTCTCACGAGCAAGCCCGTGGCATCACTCAGCCTCGAGGAGATTGACGAGCAGCTGCAGGTAAGTGCGAGGAGGAGAAGAATATGAAGCAAACCCGATTGGACGCACGGGAGAGCTCAGAGCACCGAAAATCATCAGTCTAGAGCTTCGCGACTGACGATACCATCCCAGCAATGCTCGATAGTCCAATCCCTAACCTCCTCCAAACTCGCCTCCCTCTCCGAAACCCCCTCCCTCCTCTCTCGCGCCTTCGGAACCCTCTTCCCCGGCTCTCCCGCCGTAAACGCCCTCCTGGCGACCCTCTACATCTCCGGGCCCCCCAACTTCCTCCTTGCCCTCTGCCCGACCGACATTGACCCCTCCTCCCTCTCCGTCATGGTCGCCTTCGCCGTCGGAGGGCTCATGGGGGACACCTTGTTCCACCTGCTCCCCGAGATCTTCCTCGGCGAGGACGAGCCCGAGCGCGCGCGCCTCGTGCTCGTCGAACCGAACCGCAATCTGCTGCTCGGCGTCGCGATCCTCGTCGGTTTCATGACGTTCGTGGCCATGGATAAGGGACTGCGCATCGCTACGGGCGGGGAGGGGCATTCGCACGATCACGGTGGACACTCGCATGCGCAGGAGCACGGGGAGGCCAAGGCCGAGGGTGTGTCGTCTGCTGTGGAGAAGGCGGGCAAAGTCACCTCGCGCAAGAAGAAGGCCGGGACCGACTCCGGATCTGGAGCCGACGGCGCCGTGGACAAGCCGGAGAAGGAGATGAACCCCAGCGTGAGACTCGGAGGCTACCTGAACCTGATGTACGACTTCCTCCCACCCAGTCTTCCACTCGGCCTCCGGGCGCGATTCTACTCATGACTGTACTGACTTACATCCCGCAGCGCCGACTTCACGCACAACATCACAGACGGCCTCGCCATGTCCGCCAGCTTCTACGCCTCCCCGACCATCGGCGCAACCACCACCGTAGCCGTCTTCTTCCACGAGATCCCCCACGAGGTCGGCGACTTTGCCCTGCTCGTGCAATCCGGCTTCAGCAAGCGCGCCGCCATGGGCGCCCAATTCGTCACGGCCCTCGGCGCCCTTCTCGGCACCCTCATCGGCATCGCCGTCCAGGAGCTCGGCGGCAGCAGCTCCGGCTCCGGCGAGGGCGGTATGCCGCGTAACGCGGGGCTCTGGGGTACCAGCTTGGTGAGTTAAAAACCTGCACTCCGTTTCTCTCGTGCCGCCAACGCAAGTTTGGCGTGACGAATCGCAAGTTGCTGACGATGGACCTGATAGACTTGGGGCGATTTGCTTCTGCCCTTCACCGCGGGTACCTTCCTCTACGTCGGTACCGTCGCCGTTATCCCCGAGCTACTCGAGACGGGCCCGAACAAGATGGCCGAGCTGCGCAAGACCCTCGTTCAGTTCGCCGCCATTGCTGTCGGCGCCGGTATCATGCTGTACATTTCGTGGCATGACTAGACAATACACCCTTTCAATGGTGCTTGAATTCTGCCCCGTGCACACGTAAACATGTCTATGTTAGATGCACCCTTACTGAAAAAGGCGAAAACGCCATGTAGAATATATAGAGACAATAGACAGAGCAAGACGCTCTGCCACTACCAGATGAGGAGGATTTCTCCAGCCAAAAGTGATGTGAAACCACCCGTCACCATAAATCTGGTTACGCTGACCTCTGGATACAATGCAACCTGCAATACGGATATAAGGTAGAGAGTAAGCTGGACGAAAGGAGTGATGACCTACCCCAACCCAAAACGGCGCCTTCACAGCAACAGACCGTCCCAAACACCATTTCCAACAACTCGGTCGACGGATCGTCTAGTCCCTGGCCGTCTGACCGGCTTTGGTAGCAGTGCGGGCGCAAGAGAAAGCATGTGGCGTCGTCGACGGGAGCCAAAAGTTGGGGTAAAGAAAAGTAGACAATGTAGAGGAACATGTTGTCCTTCGACTACATAATGAAGCAGAGGGGAAGCTGAATAATACACATATACACGAAGCTCCCCACGAAGGAATGAGCTTGTCATGGCCGGGGTAAGAACTACCAGTCTTTCAAAGAGACTTGCGTATTCCGAGTAAGCTTGTGATTTTGCACGCATCGCATTTTGGTGTTGGCTGAGCTTAGGCCTGACTGCTTTGCCATCTCCCAATTTCAGGTGGAAAGAGAGGAGTCAGTGGAGGCGTGCATGATGCAATTCCTGGGTGGTCTGTAAGTTTGCGGCTGTGAGCACGCAATGAGCTTGGTGAGCAAATGTCAAGAGGGTTGACGCAATACAGTCCTGGAGATGGTGTTCTGGTTCACCTCAGCCTCGAGGAACATGATTTCCGGTGTAGCGAAGACGGGGAATTATTCATCATGGAGCTTGGTCAGCTCTTGTGGTCTGGGGGTGGTTGCCAATGAACCGGGAGATGCCCAAGTGATATGCGTTGTTGTCTATGGCCTGTCCACCAGCCTACTAGTGCAATAGCGACATTGACATGAGGCGCTCTGCAGGGCGCGGTGCACATCAGCGGTATGTAGGGCGCACTGGGCGCGTGAGTCAATAAGAGTCTTTGGACTTGGCCGCCAAAGTTTCTACACCTACTGGTGGGTGCATGGCCATGTGTGCATGACGCCTTTTCGTAGTCTGGGAATGACCCGGAATCGAAAAAGGCTGTCCCATCCGTCGTCCGAAGGATCTCCCCGTCCCGATTGGAGGCGGAATCCCATCATCGTAGGCCTGCTAGGGTCTGGCCATAGACATTTGGCGATGAGGCCATGTGCGGAAGGGCGGTTAACGGGAGTGTTAGGTAATACTTCCGGACTCTCGTTCCGGAGCGTGGGATGTCTCCAGCATGTCTCCAGTGCTGTCCATCCAAAGGCGCATCGTGGGTCCTTTTCCCTTGGACAGATGGCGCTTATGGCACTCCACTCTGCGCAATAGAGGCAACAAATTGCTCGTAAAAATTTTCTCGAAAAAAAAACTTCAACCACACTGTCCGACCGTCGACATCGCAAACACCCATGTGCCATCGTAGACCGCGGCCATCCACGGCTCGTTTGTCGTCGGCTCAAAGTGGATATTCTGCTCGGGATATTCGTGGTATTGCACCATCGTCACTAACACCCACAATCCACATCAAGCAAACCCACAGTTGTCTCCTGTTGTTCTCAAGCATGCCAGTTCAACATTGGCTTGTTTCCCGTATGCACCCCTGATTTGGGTCAGTCGATCAAAACCTCACGGCGGCTCTAGCTGCTGCTCACAAAGGAGCCGCACAGCATGGCCATGCAGCATTGCAGGTAGTGATGCGCCGTAAACTGTAACCCGAAGAGCCCCATTCTGTTCCGCGATGGAGCCTCAAGTTTGTCTTGTCTCAACTTTTCAAGATCCGCTTGCTCCCGTGCCTTGGCCTGACGTACTTGGCTCGTTCCAGCCTTCCATTCAGACGTTCCATACATTCTAGCGTCATCACCTCGATGGATCTCATCAGTCATAAGCTCACCATCGTCGTGCGGCTGTTGTTACTTGACATCCAATTGCGCTCCTGGTAGGCCGCAACGTGGCCAGCTGTACTCTTCGGGTTCTCTCCTGCGGTACCCGACCATTCGTGATGTGAGAGTAATGGCTTCCCTCTGTTTGTTCTTTTGCATGTTCCATGGTGTGTGAGCCATCCAATGGTCCATGCGGCCACTACCTTGGCGAGGCCGCGAGTGGCCATTCGAGACCTTTGCAACTTTGAAGGCGTGGGATCGAGTGTAAAATTTTCACTTCACGATGGTCATGGTCGTAGCTCTGATGGATCTCATTACTTTCGGCGTCCCCTAACGTTAAGAACTCGCGAGGCACGCCCCCATAAGCGCACCCTTCGGATGGATCATGGCAACCTCCAGGGCCCCAGACCACCGGGGGATCCACCGGCTTAACAGAGGGTATCGACCGCTAACGGGAGGCCGAACCGGGTGGCCGATGTGCCTCCGCCGCGGGAGTCCACTTTCAACCGTGTACGTCAAGGGGACCCGATGGCATGGATCTCGTGTAATGCCAGCAACAGCCGCCAGGCACCTAAAGGCAAAGCGCCGCGCCCCTGGATGGATCTCATTAGACATCGATTCCGTGTACGTAAAGCCCAGCCGGTTGTCGTGTGTTTTTGCGAACTTTGTA